ACCATCCAAACCGATCCTTAAATAGGCCATCTTCTGCTATCGTTCAAAATGAAATTTAGAACTGAGTCTTTACGAATTTGCGATCAAACACAGACAAGGTAAAGACATACATAATGCGGATTTTCTGTCACATTATTCACCATTCCAGAGTTCCCATTAGTAATATTGACTGTTTATTAGTTTAGCCATTATCTGTTGACAGAATACAACTTATACACGATACTCGGAAGTACAATGGGAGCATCATAAATGCAATGAAAAGAGTTGGAATCTCGAGTACAACTGGAGATACACTAACTTCTACAAACGAAGATCCGAATTATCATTACATCCTGAACAGCTCTTATGTATGAATGACGGAATCGTTATCCTTCAAAAGTCGACATCTGCTATATTAGATAACCTTCGTTCAGCATATCTGTTGGCTGAGAAGACGAGATGACTGACACCTAATACGCTGGTGACCACGCATTCACGCTCACATAATGAGGTCATGGAGTTGTTCTGGTTGTATGCATAAATATCGTACAGGAAAATCATTATAGAATCTATGGTCTGTGTCTTCAGCGATATGGCAATGCATTCATATAGATTACTGTGGTCTCCTTTTAAACTCGTTACATGCTTTACTGACAGTGGACTCTTATTTCAACTGTCCAGAATACTCGAAGAAATCCTGACTGTTGATGTGAGCCATATAAGGAGATGTAGACTGCCTGGTGTGGACCCTCGAGACGAAAGGAATCAGTGGTTGAGGAATCTTGGTGACATAGCTGAAAATCTATCACATTGGCACAGATGCATTCATTTCTTAGCATCTTGTAAAGCTTGAATATCCCTACTAACCGTTATATTCCAGTTTATCACTCTCTTACACTACTTTATCTACTTATGTGTCCTCGTTCTCTGTCCACCTGTTCTTTTGTTCTGCTGTGAAGTGTGGCAAATTGATCCGATGCACCTGTGTGCAAGGTTGTACGTAAATTTTGTCAGTCAGTCAGTCAACGTGCCTCTCACCTTCTTGACGAGAACTATTGATTGTCAACTTCTCAAGGTTACTGAGTTTCACATTGGAGAGATGCCAAAGTGTAACAGATGATTGCATTGTGGTCAGTAATAACAGAATTATTAGGAAGTGAACTATCTCACCAATGAGATAGAAGCCAAGAGTTTGTAATCAATGAAATTCTTTATATATTGTAACTGCAGTAAAAACAAAAGCAGCGAATATTCATATCGTACTGTAGTTGAGCTAATGATTCACCACAGTTACCTGACATCTGTAAGACCTTTCACTCGGTTGGTCAAAATAATCTGAATAAGTAACTTCGGCTTATGGGTGTACACAGAGTATTATTCAGTTGGTTTAGGGATTATCTTAATAACTGGCTGCGATTAGTTAGAGTTAGCTGCTTAATGTTTAGTTGGTTAGCGAGGCTGAATGGGATACCTCAAGATCGGATTGTTGGTCCACTACTGTTGTTTCCTCTTATAAATGACTTACCAATACGAGTTAAAAAAGGAATAACGAAATATAAACGACTAAACTTAAACTTATAGGTTTTATCTTGATATTTTTTAGGTGATTGATTAGTCCGACAAGATTTCTAGAAACCCGTTACTATGAAATTCATAGATGATTCAGAAATGCGATTTTTAAGCATCTTTTCATGCGAAACTTGCGTTTTTTTTCATTCTTGTTGAGCTAGAGGTTTCATAATGGCATTGTTAAATAGGCGATCATGATACTCATATGATTGTATGTATCATGAAAACAAGATTTCCTAACATTTTTAAGGAAATAAAAAAGCATAAAACAGAAGTCGTTTTAAGATTGATTTTAATTGTAAAGGACAGGGAGCATTTTTTATGTTGTAGTCCCTACAATCTAAATCTGATTAAAAGTACCTGCTGTACATTTAAGATGTAAAATTATTGACCTGATCCTGTAATCCAAACAAACTTCAATTTTGCTCATACTTTCAACTTAGGAAGCTATCGAAGCTAATAAAATCTCTGTGAATAGACCATTAGATTAAGAATACTGTGACATATAGTAATCTATAGTAAACTGTGTTGTTTTTTTCACATCCGTCGCTCTTAGTAACCTTTGGATTCTTTCATTAAAAGATGGTACGAGTGAATGTGTATATGATGACTGCGTGATCCTTAGTAATATCGCACGTAGCAATGTGGATTAGTTATACTGTTGATAAGAATAGGATAAAGGGTATAGTTAACAGTTATATTTATCAGGTCAGTTGGCTTATGCAATACTCAACCAAAATATCCAGCGATAATAATCTTGGTTTCTTGAATATCCCTACAATGTTTTCATCTCCTGCCAATTTTCAAATCTTATGAATCTTTAATATTTACAATGTTGTTCTGACATTTTTGTGGCTTGTCTGTCTATCTCTGATATAAAACAGACTATTTAAAGAACATAGTTCGTTTATAAGTGACATTAATCTTCAGCAGATATTTGAACTTTAGGCAAAAGATGCTCAACTTCCCTAGTCTTTTGCAGTTGATTGTTCATTGAAATCATTTCAATGGTTCTACTTGTAATTTTTGAGCATGAGAATAAACCGCTTGTTCGCATTCAGTAATTTCTCAGTAGAAAATGAAGAGAGTATAAAATTTCACCTCGATATGCATCACTTTTTACTACTTTCAGTGGTAACAGTGCTATTTTTATACTTACAGAATCTCTGAAACAGAAAACATTTACACTAGAATTCTGTCCCTAAACCTTATAATATAGGAGTAAACCTTGAAGACTGTTGTAAATGTAATTCGATTTTAGTGTGTTTATGTGAAAGGGTAGACAAGGGTAGTTAGAGTATTCCATATATCTGAGACAGGTGCAGAATCATTTCGATTACATGTACTTGGTGTTGATTCAATAAACGAAGTTCTCGTTATCAATCTCTTCCTCTAACCAACTAAATTAGTTTTCAACGCTGTCGCTCTATCCCACCCTACTGTGTGATTGTGTGTAATTGCATGCAGAGCTATAGCCGAGCTTTTCTCCAGATTTATTATCTTATTAGGATCTACTTACCTTGATTTAGCTACGTTTTTGTGCTGTGTTATTCTAATGGGCCCTGGTCGACTGCCTTGACCTATGTACTTGACCTCACAATCATTGCAAGGGATTTGGTAAAGCAGATTATTTTGCTTAATTGCATCGATAGGATGTTTTAGCCTACAAAGCTTATTTGTAAACGAGTTTGTTATTTTGAATGCCACTTTAATCCTGGCCTTATTGAGAATTCTTCGTAATGATTCTGAGGTGCCTTTATTCTATCATAACTTAGCAGAGGCTTTGAATTCTCTCTTAACCCCGTCACCATTATTACTAACCTTATTATCATTAGTAGAATCAATATTGATAACGTCTTAGTTAATACTACTGCTGCTCATATTTTTCTTTCAATTCCTTACGAATTTATTCATGAATTTAAGTGGGTAATTATTGAGACGCGAAGTATTCTTGATGTGTCTAATTTCTTGTGGTAGATTTTCTGGCCTACTAGTGAACTTTTCTGCCCAACTACCTGAGCGCTTAACTCAACGTATTTTAACTGAGATGGAGTGAGATGATGTGTAGCCTAAGTAGTGATTCGAATGGAAGGTTTCCTCTAGGCACTAGTCTTTAAACTTACGTCTTTTTTCGTTTAATCTTTAAATTCACCATTGCTTGTTCACATTTATCACTTCCTAAGTCACAAGTAAGTTGGATTGTATTCACCACTGAACTTATATATGGTGAGAATCAATTGATGTGTTCATATTCAGTACTGCAAACGTGTCATCTACGTATCGGAACCGTATCTTTAGTATAGGACTAAATGTTTCTCCAGCCATCCATTCTCAACTATCCATAAATATGACTGTTACGATAGAGAATATTGATGATACCATGGCAACCCTTTCAGTTTGTTTATTTATCTTATTTTGAAACTTAGAAAATGTAGATGTTAGGCCCAATTGTACTCCTGGTGTGATTTCCTCGATCGGTATTTTAGTTCGATGAGTAAGCTGGTTGTCATCTTCAAGCCCATTTGTAACTGCCTCTACAGCCATGTCGATCGGTATATTTGTGTAAAGGCTAGTTATGTCAAAACTAACCATTTTTTCACAGTCGTCTAATCCATGCTTTAAGTCATAAGAGTTGGTAAGTTGAGATTTTGAGTGGATTATTATTGGGCCTAACACCCTTGCTAAATATTGAGACAAGTCGTGAGTCGGAGTGTTTCTAAAATCTACTATGGCCTGATGGGAAAACCTGTGTTATGAATCTCAATAATACCATACATTCTACTGGGATTATTAGTTTTTTGCATTGAAATGAACCATTTTGACTGACTTAGAAATGGCTTTATCCGGACAGTATGGACAATAAATGTGTCCGAAATGTTACCCAGTATGTAATACTGTTTCACTGTGTGACATTTCAAATAAACAGACTAAGATAGGACATGTCTTTTAATTTCTACATAAGTCCTTTAGGAAAGACATTACCGAATGCTTTAGTGAACATTATGTTGAAAAATAAGTCAGTTTCGGCGAAATTTAATTTAATTTCCTTAGTAGCCTTAACAAGCAAGATTATTCAATTCGAAAGCTGTACGTGCTCGTCGTAGAATATCATTCTCTCCCATGTACTGCAGAGAAATAGTCATGCGTAATTCTTCTCACTCTTTTAAGAAGTATGCTGATCCAAACAGTCTAACAGTTATTAGCTTCAAAAAGTTTATAATCACTGCTGCAAGCCAAAGTGATGATATCGATCATTCTGTTGCTCATTTTTTTGTGGTATTAAATGACGACAGTACCTCAATTTAACCAGATAGCTCACAAATATTGTTTTTTCAAGTATTTGTAAAATGGTATTTTTTTCTTTTCGTTTCAGGTTACCACTCTAAGTTTCTTAACCAGTTAACTGATTTGTGCTAACCTCTTGTCTAGAACCGTCAACCTTTTAATAAAATATGAACATTAATTTCCTGAAAGCTATTCATTTAATGTATATCGCCTGTCTCATATCAGGATACAGTCCTATCAGTGAAAAACTGGATGCACTGTAGATTCTACGGAGAAAGTGATTTCCTACTATGAGCAACATAATGAAGAATTCAATTTTGATGGAATCTTTGGACTTATTCCATTGAAAGGTAACGAGAAGTACTATAAAATTTTCAGGAGCTCTTCAAAGCATTATCCATGATTCTTTCTATGATGATTATGGAAATAAGTTTGTTTCATGGACAACTTTGATAAATAAATTTCGAACACAGCTGCAGAGAGTCAACATAGTAATCGCAAAGAGCACTACATTCCTTAAAAGTACAAATGATCCTTATTTCATTGAAATGGGTAAACTTTTATCACTCAATTGGGTTTTCCTCAGTGAAAATGTTTTGTATAAATTGGATTTTTTTTCACCAAACCTGAATCCTAATGAAGTACTGCACAATATTTCCAGCGATGAATGTATTATACAACTCCTGAACTCCAGACGTCAAGGTGGTTTCAGTTGTATCCTCTCAAAGAAGTGTGTCACCAGTTTGTTGAACTTCAAATCTCATGGATATGAACTGGCTCATCAAATTCTATATATATTAATTGCATTCCAAGTAATTTCAATCTATGTGTATGAATGATTTGATCACCAGGTTAATTGTACAAATTCTTTGGAAAATATTCTATCATCGATCTCTGTCAATCTTGAAGAGCTAAGGAATCAGTTGTGTCTAGTTTTGTACACAGATCTAGTAAATTCATTCTCTTCTGTGAGAATGATTCCTTCAAATCGAGATGTAGTACTTGAAGAAAGTGAGTTTTGATTGTGGTTTTTTCACGACCAGCAACAATGTATATTTAAAAGCGTTATAAATTTTAGATCATATACAAAATTATCTTTTGTAAATCATCGACCTACAGTGTTTACGATAGACTGTGTATGTAAGTTAGAAAGGCCTTTATCAAGGCTTGAAAATCAAGTGTTGGGTGAATTTAAATGCTATCCTGACTACAACTGTAATAACGAATTAAATTTCTAGATTTCATGAAAATTTGCCTTTTCAGATAAAATAGAGAAATCTAGTTGAATAATTCAGTCATTGCTAGACTGGGCTTTAAAGTTGCTGTAGTGATCAATGTAGTTCGGTTCTCTTTTCTCTCATGTGAGCTTTTCCTGGTACAGTTAAACTTGATGACACTCTAATGTCACAATTTCAACGTTCAGATTTCTCAAATTTCTTCTTTAGATTTTTTTCTTGTCTTGAGGTTTTTATTTAAGACCGTTCCCCTTCTTGTTAATAATAGATCGTGGCTAGTAGTGGAATCCAGGATGCGCATTTCGTCTGTTTGGGACTCGACAGCTGGATGTGCCTGCTTCCCAGTGAGTGATGTTGTTCCCACCGGGATAACGCGCTGGCGTTTGAAGCGATCGCTCCCGAGTCCGAATCCTAGTGGGAACAACATCACTCACTGGGAAGCAGGTACATTCAGCTGACGAGTCCCAAATAAGACGAAATGCGCATCCTGGATTCCATTGCTAGCCACAATCCATCATCAACATAATTAGACTACTGGCAATATCGAGGCATCCGCACAGGAGCCCATATGCTAATAGAGACCGATCAATTCGGTCCAATCAACGACGGTATCATATAAAAACCCTTATGCATTCCCCTTATTATTCGATGAAATGCTTTTCCTTTCTGTTTCTTTGTTATTCTAATGATATTTTCAGTTGCTTTAGGAAGTAGTTATGTCAATCATCATAGCGAGTTCCTATATCTGCCAAGTGATAGCTATTAGTGGGAAGCTTTCAGTAAGAGACAAATAAAGTATAGTATGCTGGAACACGTAAGTAAGCCATCATCACTGTCCAGCCTTGAAATACATATATGACTAACTGAACAACTGATAGAATTTCACTAAGTTGGATGATTTATTGAAGTTTCTCGCAATTAAAGATTGCACAAAACGATTATCGTCTTACTTTTTAAGAAGTCCAGCAGACAGACTTCAAGTGAACAGTCTCGTGATAGAACTAACTGTAATGTTACTTTAGTACTATTTTCCTACACCTAAGATATATTCAATGAGATATATAATTTAAGTGCTCTCTTATATTCAATTTATATACTCTGTAGAAAGTATTAACAGCTATCCAAGCTGTATAACAGCATTCATAATGGATATTGCGATTCAGTATGGAGTCCGAACATTAAGTCTTTAAAGGCATATCCCGCTAAAAAGCTATCGAATCGTTCATTGTTTAACTTAGTGTAGAAGGTGGGAAATTCGAAATGAAAGTCTATTATTTACGCCTTAAAATCGCTTGGACCAATTCGCTACATACTGCAGGGCATATTTTCACAACTAATAATATGCAATTTCATTTTACTATAAATGCAAAAATCTGATTTCACTATTATTCAGTATTTTATCTAAATTTAGTAATTACTGGGTAAACCTCATTGAAAACTTCTCTGAAGAGTAGTCAATCAGATAGCTTGCATAAAATATATAATCCAGTATAAGCATAAGTGAAGTAATTCACTGTTGCCTAGATTGCTATGAGCAATGAACGCTCATCGATTAAGAATATGTTTTGCGTGTACTTAGCCACAGCGCACTTGAACACATGTTAATGACAGCAGAAATGGGCTTAAAGATCATATTAAAAAAATGAAGTCACTGATTATTGATTTGAGCCGTGTAGGCAACTGTGGGCTATCTGTCTTGTGTGTTTCATGTGGTAGGTACCAGTGGTTAAAGACCTTTGATCCCAGTAACATGAATTTATTCACTTTTGTATAGTTTTCAAAAATCTAAACACCTTTTCAACCTTCATTTATTTGTTCACTTCTCTTCTATATCATCCTAGTTGGTTTTAATATTATCCTCTACGTTTTCATTTTTTCTTTCAGTACTTTTTCTAAATGTCCAGGGTTAAACCGAAGAATATATTTTCCTCTTCGGTTATATATCGATCGATCTCTGTGTCTATATTCAACTCAAGATGGTTGTAGAATATATTGTTTGCATTGTAAATGGTTTGTACTGTATATTATAGTTTGGCTTCGTTGCATCTGAAGTCTTTTTTACAATCAGACCGTTTTTATTTTAGTCTGCATCAATAGCCTACAAAGTCAAAAGCACCATAGCCTTCCTTGAATACTTTTTATGGGATTTGGTTATTCCTTCTGTTCAAGGAATAATCATATGTAATCACTGAATCGAAGCTTATATTCGAAAAAATGTTTCAGTTAAAATAAACATATAATATCATATTGGCTTATTATTAGTAAGTATAAGTACTAAGGAGTTTTGATAAGGTAAACATTTATTGAAGTATATCATGCTGTAGCATCATAAACAAGTATCTGAAAGAAGTTGGTTTGTTTCTTTTTATCTGTAGAAATCCTCCAATTGATAATTGGTGATATTCAGTGATAATAAAATATAATTACTTCCCGCATTATTTTTTAACTTCCAGTATTTGTCTGTGGCAATCTTGGTTATGGGAAATTTATTCAACCTTCTATTCTCGACGAAATTTTATCTTGGCAACGACCTTCTGGGTGTTTTAGTGTTTCAGATTACGAAATTGTAGAAAATGGTTTTGGGAATACTCTGACCAGCTTTACAAAACGTCGGACACTTGTTGAACGTAGACATGCAGGTACGTAATATGAATGAGAACACAATAATCAAATATGCTTCCTTTTTTACTGCAACTTATTTTAGTGGTACTAGGACCATTCAGTTCACTGAATGATGTCATGGCTTGATGATAGAACCAGTTGATCTCTGAATATAGTAATAAAAATAATAACAGCTTTATTCCAAGCAATATGTATGGTACAGTGTGGAATTCTCAGCATGTAATTTTTCACCAAAGTAACTCCCAGAACAATACTTCCAGACGAATCAGTTATTGAATCCAAACCATGGTGGTAACAGTATTCAAGGCAATAATGTGGAGAACACAAGTGGGTCTGGACCGCCGTTTTGTCTGGAATAAAGAATCAATAGAAATACGAGCCTAAGCCTGGTGGTGACGGTTGATTCAGCCACTACAAGGATCTGCAACTAAAGATAAATATCCAAGGTATAGAAATGTGTACTCTTGCTCACTGAGAAGCCTACCTCCCTATAACCTGGTATTTTCTTACCCGTTGTTGTTAACTCGAGTTGAAAACATTTTAAAAATGTACAGGGGTACATGGTACATCCATAGGACATATTTGAATGATTAAAACAAATTGTCGTGGGTTGGATCCTTGGCGGGGTGGTGGGTGCACATACTGCGACAAAACAGCTGTCCAGTGCTCCCAGGTTTCTTTTATTCCTCCAACTGACGTCAGTCTACGATGAATAACAACTTGAAAGGAAAACATTTAATATATATTTTCGGCTAAAAATTTTGGTAGCCAAAGGTTCAAGCAGGTCGCCGTGATACGGTGGCAGTGTACAGTATGTTCAACCAAACTGTTAGCATCATATCATATTATCTTTACATAAGTTTTGATTGTTGTTTTATTCATATTTTATTTCCTCCACTGTTGTTATTGTATATTCTAATGTCTTTCTGTTGATCCAGTTCTATACTATTGCTAAGCGGGGATATTTAGAACACATGCACTTTTTTGAGACATTTTACTATGTTGACTGTTGTCAAAAGTTGTTGATTAATACTAAACTAGTTGATTTACTATGCGTTCTGTTAGTTAGTTAGTGACTACATGGAAGATACAGCTTGAAAATCAGCTCATTTGTAGTTATAGTGAAATGGTGTTAATGTTACTTTTGAAAAAAATTAAACTACAATATAAATCGAAAATTGGTTAAATAAATAGTTAAACCTTATGAAAAATGAGAAATGTTAGCGGGTGTTGAATAAGCATACTGTTATTCTCATATATTCTCACAACTTTCCACTACCTCAGTTCATTTGACTGAACCGTTTCATTGTAGTGTGTATACTTCACAACAATAATTTTTCATCACATTACATAAACTTCATCCTCTTTTTGAGCCATCTAAGCGTATATCATTAATTAAATGTGTACCTGAAGAGTGAAATTTTTGTTTTTACAAGTTTCATGGTGAATTCCTATTTCTTAATTGTTATGAATAAGTCTGTTAAACGTTATTGTTTTTGATGTGTCGATGTTGCATTGTTTTACGTTATGTGTAATCCTTTTTTGGATTTCATAGTGTTGGTATTATCAGATAATTGCCAGTTATCATCTGAAATAATACACGTTCAGTACATCCACAGTAATGAGAGTAGTCGAAAATTGACCATGTGTAAAAATGGAACTCTTTTGGTACTTTCAGTACGAATACGGAAGTTAAATAAACACCTACAGTATGATAAAATAGATTCTAACTGAGTAAATGACCGTTAGAATTATCACTTCGAGACATTAACTTGTTTCTGAACAAAATACAGTACAGTAAACAGTATACTGTCGATGAATTACAACAGATCTTCAAGGTATACTATTGATATTATTACTGTTATGGTTATTCCTCGTTTTACTAAAACCGTTATTCTTACTATTGTTACTACTTCCACTTCTTACTGAATAATCTTCAGGCTTCATTTTAAGTTGTATTCTACTGATAAGATTGAAATGTATTTCCTCCTAATTATAAAATTATCAAGTGAGTTGTAAGAATCAAGTCAATAATAACAGTTTAATGTGTTCCATTTCAAAATTTATCATTGTACATTATCTTTATGGATGCAAAGATAAACTGGCCTGTAGATTTTCGATACCTTATAAAACTGGAAACAGTATTTCAGTCTTGGAGGTCAACAGATTGAAATAGTAGCATAACTTGTTAGTACTAGTCGACTAACTACTATGATTATTGTATTATACTTAATTAGTTGGTGTGTTATCACTGTAAAATGAATAATGAAAAAACTCAACAGTTCTGATTAATATTCCTCAACTCTTATATTTAAGTAAATACCCTTTGCAAAGAAAAAACAACCACATCACTTTTAGGTTAAATGACTAAAAATATATTTGAAAGTCAGCACATCTAATGTAGCAGTTAAGTAATCAAAAAACTACTGACAATTTCTAATAAAGTAACATATCGAGACCTATTGTAATTTTGTTTCAGACTTCAATCGTAAACCATATGTGAAATGAAATGTTTTTTATACTATCTGTTAAAAATCTATGTCCACTTATTTCATTACTTCACTGTAACCTTTTAATTTCTAAAGACAATAATAATAGTAATGCAAGCGAACTGATATGGGTCGAGAGGCACTAGGTGAAATGAATGAGAATGGAGAATTGTTTGCAGAATTCTGTGCATTCAACGATTTGGTGATTGGAGGCAGTGTGTTCAGGCACAAAGATATCCAGAAAGCGACATGGATTTCACCAGATGGACACACTAAAAATCAAATCGACTTTATCTCAATCTCAAGAAAATGGAGACGCAGTCTACTTGACACAAGGTCAAGAAGAGGAGCAGATGTAGGTTCAGACCACTATCTAGTGCAAGGAACCATCGAAATCAAGTTGAAAGCCTTCAAGGAAGCTGGTGATAGACCTCAATCCAAGTACAACACTCGGAAACTGAAGGATGAAACTACAAAGGAGATCTTCAAGCCAGCCATCAAGACAAAATGGGAGATATCGAGGAACATCCTTGAAGAAACCTGTTTGGAAGAACACTGGAAGTCTTTGAAAGGGATGTGGAAAGAAACCTGCACAACAGTATTAAGAAGGAAGAAGAAAAAGGACAGGACAAGGAATGGATCTCGACGGATACGTGGAAGCTGATAGAGGAGAGGAGGATGGTGAAGCAGAAGATAAACCAGTGCAAGGATGCTCAACGACAAGAGGAACTGAGCACGATGTATAAAACACTGGACGAAGAAGTGAAGAAGAGTGCACGGGAAGACAAAAGACACTTCTACGAAACACTGGCAAGTGAAGCAGAACAGGCTGCTGGTAACAGAGACCTGACGACATTGTATCAAATAACCAGGTTGCTATCAGAGAAGAGACCAACACAGATGAAACCAATAAAAGACGAAGAAGGAAATTTAATTACGAAAGAAGAGAAACAGAGGAAACGATGGGCCGACCACTTCAAAAAGCTCTTGAATCGACCACCACCTGCACTTCGTCCAGAAATACCACCTGCAGCCGCTGAATTACAAGTGAACATAAATCCTCCAACGAAAATGGAAGTCCTGAACGCCATAAAGCTACTGAAATGCGGGAAGGCAGCAGGACCAGATGGAATACCGCCAGAAGCACTGAGAACAGATGCAGAGACAACAGCGGACATGCTCACACCACTATTGCAGAAGGTGTGGAAGGAAGAGAAGGTACCTGACAAAAGATTGGAAGAAGGGTTACCTTGTCAAACTGCCGAAGAAGGGAGACCTCAGTGCTTGCAAGAACTGGCGCGGAATCACTCTACTGTTCACCCCAAGCAAAATATTAAGCCGCATCATCCTGGAGAGGCTAAAGGATGCACTGAATTCAAAACTACGACCGGAACAGGCAGGCTTCAGGAAGTACAAATCATGTGCAGACCAAATTGCAACGCTACGCATCATCATAGAACAGAGCATAGAATGGCAATCAGCTCTCTACCTCAACTTCATCGACTTTGAGAAGGCCTTTGACAGAGTCGACCGAGAAGTAATTTGGAAACTGCTTCAATACTACGGAGTACCGCAAACCTTTATCCGCCTCATTCAACAACTATATGAAGATGCCACATGACCAAGTAATTCACAATGGGAAGCTCAGTGATGCTTTTGAAGTGAATGAAGGAGTGAAACAAGGTTGCCTACTATCCCCCATGATATTCCTTATTGTGGTGGACTGGATCATGCAGCAAACAGTGGGCAGCGAGAAGAGGGGGATACGCTGGACTGCGGAAAAGAACCTAGAAGATTTGGATTTCGCCGATGACTTGTGCCTGATGTCACACAAACTTGAAGATCTGCAGGCAAAAACTAACAAGTTGATAGAAGAGGCAGCTAAGACGGGACTTCAGGTGAATATAGAGAAGACAGAGGTGATGAAGATACCGCACCAACATCTCCAACAACAGCAAACTCCAATCACCGTCAACGGGAGAAACTTGAAGGAAGTAACCTCCTTCACCTATCTAGGAAGCACTGTTTCAACTACAGGCGGGACGGACGAGGACGTCAAAGTCAGAATCGGAAAAGCAAGACAGGCGTTCATTAGCCTGAAACCAGTGTGGAGATCTCCTGCACTCAGCATGCGGAACAAGATACGGATTTTCAACACCAACGTGAAGTCAGTGCTCTTGTATGGCTCAGAGACTTGGCGCGTCACGAAAGGGATTTCCAATAAACTACAGATATTCATCAACAACTGCTTACAAAAGCTCGCTGCTGAAGATCAGATGGCCAGAAAAAATAAGCAACAAGGAACTAACTGGGAACGAACCAACCAAGAACCTATCACGCAACAAATATGGCGGAAGAAGTGGAGATGGATTGGGCATGCACTGAGAAGGCCGACTGAGGACATCACGCGTCAGGCCAGTTGCTCGAGTGGAATCCCCATGGGAAGCGACGAGTTGGACGTCCAAAAGAGGGTGACATGGAGGAGGTCGTGCGAGGAGGAAATGAGAGGTTGTGGGCTGTCGTGGAACCAGGTTCAAAAGATCTCAGAGAACAGAGGTCACTGGAGACGTGCTACTGAAGCCCTATGTTCCACTAGGAACCCAAAGGACTAATAATAATAATAAGCGAACTGATACGTGTACAGGTTTGTATACTAGACAATAAATCATTCATATTTCGTGAATATTGTAATACCAGCTTGCTGCTCAAACTTCTGTAAGTAGAATAGAGTCTTAACTTGTTGACCCACTGACTGAAAGTCAAGAATTCTATTGAATAGGTTTTAGTTCAACGAAAGGTTGATTGTATAGTTCTTTCTACATGATTACTATTTTGATATCCATAACTGAATGTTAACTAATATCCTTTTTAACAGCACTATATGTTTTATATTTATTCATTATTTTATAGATGGGTGTCTATCGCATATGACGTCTGTGGGAACAGCTGTATTAGGCCTATATTTGAGAGCATTTTTCTTTCCCAGATACATTTATTCTTCAGATAAAAATCTGATAAATTTATACGCTGTAACACGAAAGATTGTGCTGACAAGATCATATGAGTAAGTACAATATTCTTCGTTTTATTGACAATGACACTGACAATTCTGTAAGACATGCGAATCAAAAGATGCTAAGATTGATCCAATGATCATCTGTGAAGTCACTCTATTAACCCACAAGAATTTTAGTATTTACTCTATCTTTTTATAGGAATATTGTGTATTGTGTAAAATCGTATCTTCCTCATCTCGTGCATTATACAAGTAAATATTATTTACATAGATAGTTCGGAAAGTAACACATAATGTAATCGAACGCTAGGTGTGTTCATTATTTTGCTATATTCAATGGGCAACTTGAAGTAGAGGAATAGCTTTTACTCGTTATGACTGGATACTGTTTTTGATGTGCTGCATTATGTGGAGCTGTGGCTCATTGGTTTAAGGAGTTACCTTTTAACCAATGAACCAGATATTCGAATCCAGCTCTACCTACGAAGATTGGAGCAGCCAGACAGTATCGATAACCCTCATGCGTGCTAATTGTGTGCGTGTGCACGTAGTCAGTGAGTGCATCTCGATGAAATCAACAATTATAATTGATATGTAATTCGTAAAAGAATTTTAAGTAAATCTATACTCAGTTAACTCAGATGAAAACAAATTCAATTCGATAGCTTTTATAAGCTGGAACTTGAAACAATTACATATTTCTCAAGAATTGTTTGATACAGTGTATTCCATGATAAAGACTTACGTGAGCTGCTCAAGTCTGATGACTCTTGCCGTATTGATGGCATTTCTGCAGAAAGTAAATCGAGTATTAACTATCTTGGATTGAGTTATCATTTTGATTCTTATTAGTCTCCTTATATCATGTTGAAAGAATCTTTCATTTAATGTTTTACATAAAGAAGCTGTGGCTCTCTGGTATAACTCAGCCTCTGCGTTAACAATCCATTAATTCGTGCATTTTACTTATTCTTCTCTATTGTTCCCCGTTGATCTATACTTGTCTACTAAAAAAGGACTATGTTTTATTGCGTAGGGCTTTGAAAGCCGCTAGTAGGGTGAGTGCTGTACCTCTGACCCAACTGATTAGCACCATAGTTGATAGACATTTAAATTGTAGCAAGCAACTAGCTACAGTTATTTTTAATTGATGCTGAGCATCCACTTCACTTACAGCTGTTTCCTTGTATCTCCTCATGGAAGACAAGAAGAAATTACATAAGACTGTACGTTCGTACAGCTAACTACAAGAATTCGACTGTTCCCCACCTAGCATGCATATTATGTGAGCAAAAAGTATTAGAAGAGAATTTACTGAACTTAAGTAAGTACGAGTTTATAATGAGCAACTCTGAAGTTACTTATTTGACACTACAGAATTTGCAACCAGGGGGATCCAACTAGTAATTATATATTACTTTCAAGTTGGTATTCGCGGAATGACATCAATTGGAGAAGCACTGAACAACTGTTTCGTTCTAGAATAGAACTCCAATACTCATTACTGAGATGTGATTTCCCGAAGTTCTAGTCTGAAGTCATACTCATCAGGGCAAACCAAGTTGGATGTAAGGATGCGTACTCATCGATGGTATTGAATGAAGGCCGAATTATATCACGAATTGACAGAAGAGGGAAAATTGGAGGAAGTGTATTCCGACCTAGTAACTCAATGATTAGGTGTTGGACTTACGACCTGAAGGTTTTTGGTTCTATCCCTGGTGGTGACATGATTGCCCACTACTGAGAAGTGATGTAACAGAAGGAAACATTTTTTCAAATGCTTCCAGACTTCAAATAGTTTTCCAATTGATTTCAACTTGTAATGAATAACACCTTGGGATCAATAAATCCCCACAAACCTTTAGATTGAATTATATATTATTTTTATTTGAACTAACAAATGTTTTACTCAGACATTATTATGTAGTGGAGAGGAGGTGTGTAATAGTTTTTAAATGTTTTATGTAATTGTATTAGTTCATGTATTGTTGGTTGAATTCCTTTTGTGTTTTTTTTCAGTTCTCTCCCACCATTACTAGAGGACAATTATGAAAAGTCCAAGTCTTTAAAGTATAATATGAAAAAACAAACAGATTTAGATCGTTTAATGTTTTTTAAAGGGTCACAGTATATGTTTATCAATAAATTTTCAACAAATTTTAAGTATTCACCTAATTTTAACCATGAAGTAAACATACTGAATTCAATTTATCCACTTATTGTTTATAGTCCAATTTTCTGCTTCATATGCTTTTCTATTTCCCTTTATTTATTCTCACGTTGTTATATATTTCGTCGTAAATTATCTAATCTATATAAGTTTACTGTTGAAACATAGAAGAGAGAAACAAATTAATTTATCATGCATCTTAAGAAGATATTTACTTATTTCATTACTCTTATTGTTACTGTATGATAATTGTATTGTGATATCAAAAAGGTTTACTAAGAAGTTTTCAGTATTTCCCTAGAATATATACACTTACTGTACATGTCATGTACAAAAACTGAATGGCAGGCATTCCATTCAGTTGCCTTTTGTTTTCCCTACAAATTTTCAAAGGAATAAAATCCCTTCATTTCATGTTTTATCTTCGCTATTCAACTGTGAAATCAAAGGACGTCTGGTGTATTGACCTAGATAGTTGACTTAGGATGACTATGTCAGTAGGAATAACCCTCATATTATAGGTAAGGCTTGTTGCATATTGAATAAATCTATGTATAAGTAGATCATTCGCAGACTGGACTAATGATCCAACAGTCTCAATTCACAACAATGTAAACAAGCACCTTAGGGGACTCATTTGATTAGTAGAGCAACCTGTAAAGAAGAAACGCATCAGCAAAAGGTTAGGAAACCACAGCTTGAAGGATACATTTCAATTCTCTGAGGAGGTGGAGACACTAGATATCTCAGATAAATTCTTCATAACACTTGATATTTCCTCATTATTTACGAAGGTATCAGCGGATTAAATGATAGACATAATCTATCAACAGTTATATCTACTCCCACTGCCAAAAACAAAACTCAAACGATTAATGCTTCTCTGTAAAAACGGTTTTCTATTCCACTTTTGTAATCCATTAGTACTGGCTAACTGATGGAGTGGCAATGAGTTGACTACTAAGAACTATCCTAGCTGGTATATTTATGGCTCATTTCGAATGAACATGTCTAAACTCTGCGATCAAGGAGGCGACATATTTGTGAATCATGCATCAGATTTGCTTGACACCAATCAAGGTCATCCAAATATTAATTTTACAATGGAATACGAAAATGAGAAGAGATTCAATTTTTGTTATTTGAGTACACGATGGAGATTTGATGGTATAGTTGAAGAAACCATCCGCAGAAAAGACACGTTGATTAATCAGTACCTTCACTATAATAGTTTCTGTCCGGTCAGCAATAAGCTTGGTTTAGTCAGGACGCTCTTGACTAGAATAAGAACGCTGTGCTCAAACGATAAACAAGGAGGAGAATTCCGTATTATTGAGAAGACTTTTATAGAGAATTGATATCCGAAGAAATTCATCATGAAGCATGGAAAAGACTTTATTGAGAGATTCAAACACTCAACTGTTGAGAAGAAGCCTGTTTTCCTTTGTCTGGCGTTCAAGATTGGTGAGACATCTGAAAGAGCAGGCAGAAGAATATAACCTGCTCTGAGAAGGAGCTTCTGTGTGGCCAGACTCATCTCAGTTTACAGCACAGTATGCTCAATAAGATTGTCAAAAGTAGACAAATACCCATCTCACGTCACTAACAGTATATATCAGTTCACCTGTGCTTATGGAGGTGAGTATATAGAACAGACTGGACGAAGAGTTTCTGCCCGATTTTATGAGCATATTCCGAAAAATCTATGTCTGTAAGGTAGCAACGTCTTCACCAGGGCAAGCACCTGATGGAAACAGGACATCAAATAGGTGTTTCTTAATCCTTCGGGATAATCAAGAAAAGAAAAACGCCATGTTTATTACGGTTTTGCGGAAGCTCTCGTCACCAAATATTTCCAACCTGACCGATGTACTCAGAAAGAGACTGTAATGAACCTTTCTTTCCTTAGATAACTATATATTTTTTGCGTGTGTCTGTTTATGCTCTCCCTTTCTGAATGCCTCGTCTCTTCATTAATTACTTAATGAGTGTTAATCACCAAACGATTTCCAGTTTTCTCTTGTAATTACTTAACCTACTAGATCTTTAACAACCTTTCTTTTACTCTAATGTTTGCTTGTTGTGCCCTTGTGCTCAAAGCTCTCGAATTTCCTATGTCACCACCGATTTCGACTAAAATTTGTGATGATTAATTCTGTGTTTTCTTGACTCACTATCCTATTGTTAATCCTGGATTTCAAATATTGATTTATTTCAACATATTTAAAGTTTGTTATACCATTATTACTACTACTACTACTACTACTACTACTACTACTACTACTACTACTAATACTTCGTTTCAATTGTAGTCTGTTTGCAGTTGATAAAGAAAGGCTGTGAAATCAAATAAGCTCATTTTTATTCTGAAAATGTCTTTGGTCTTGGATTATTCAAATTTATCAAGAGAACTATGTGTATATGACACTATTGATTTCTGTTTAGTCGAACATATTCAATGGTACTGGTATTTATAAGCTTGATATATTAAGATATTGTTGTGCATAATATCTTTATCTCAAGTTACACAGACATATTATAAGAACAAAAAAACTTGTAAGGCATATGAAAGTAGTTGTCTTCAATCTGAATTAGTTAAATATATTGGACAAATTTGCTTACAGCATCTATATGTCAATATGAGAAGTCAGAGAAGAATATTAAGTCTTTACTTTTAACTTTCTCCTAATTGACCTTAGCTTTCATTCTTTTATCAATCAGTTTATGTGTAATGAAACACTTACAATCTGATTTATCAGATAATTTCAATAGATTTTTCATTAGAATTTTAAAGTTAAATTTCTATATATTATTGTTATCTTGAAGAAAACATTTCACGATTATGAAACAAGCAAATGATTAAATTTTACTTGATATTGTTGGCAACATCTGTAATACACAATTTTAGGTTCTTCTTCAAATCTAACTAAACACTTGAATATATACTGTCCTTACGTTCAATTCTACTATCTACAACAATGTTATCAATCTAATCAGACGTTATTTACAGTCAACTTTCAACAGTGTTTGTACAATGCAACTTATAAAAAATCATGCAAATAACCCCTCGAAGAATAATCATTTAACGTGCGTTATCACTATTATTATTATTATTATTTGTCCCTTAGGTTCCTAATGAAACATAGAGCTTCAGTAGCACGTATCCAATGTGCTCTCTTCTCGGAAATACTTTGAACCTGGCACCACGACTGCCCACAACCTCTCATTTCCTCCTCACACCATCTCCCCATGTCACCCTCACCTCGGACGCCCAACTCATCGCTTCTCATCTGGGTTCCACTCGAGTGACTGGCTTGATGCTTGATGTCCCCAGTCGGTCTTCTCAGTGTATGCCCAATCCAATCTAATCCATCTCCACTTCCTTCCAGTGCATATTTGTTGGGTGATAGGTTCCTGGTTAGTTTGTTGTCCGGCCAGAGTTCCTTGTTGCTTAATCTTATTATTCTGGCAATCCATCTGATCTTTAGTAACGAGCCAGCGTAGGTGGTAGTTGTTGATGAATGTCTGTCTGAGAATCTATTAATCTTTACTTACGTTTACCTTGTCATGATGTCATTTTTTATCAATTAAAAATTACACTCTAAGCTTTTACTACCTTCTCTAAAAAAGGCATCCTATCATTGTATAAATAAGTCAACCTTTGAGTATTTTTCAGCAATATCAATTTCGGTCGACCTACTTATTCGTTATATTCCCTTTCAATTAACATATTTTTGTCGAATTTATAAAAGTACATTGTTTATTGTGTTTTTCATCATAAATATTATATTCTAAATGTTAGATAGCAGCTGAGAAGAATTCACGAAAAACATGCATGTCACTTTTACTGATGTTGTTCATACTCTGCTTTATTCAGAATCTTCCTACAATTTGAAGAGTATTATTTGGTAATTTTGAGTACTTTAATTACATTTTTTTCGCTCAACATATAAATAACTGAAAACAATTAATTCCCTTTATCAACCTCAACAAAACAATAAGAAGACGTAAATTGCCTGAACTGTGTGAAATCTGGAGCATAATTTATGGCGGTTGCTCTAGCATTACACCAGACCTAATGGACCTAACAGAACGCATGCTCCAACCCAGACACCAAAAGGTTTATGTAAGCTTGCCCAGCCATGTATCGGGTACAAACATTTAGATAGGATTCAGTGTTGGGGGGATTCAGTCTTAACCCGTCAGATGGTAGCTTCACACCATTTGTCAACACTGGCTTTCCAACCAGGCACATACACTAATTATCTGAATCTACAGTTTCCTTCATACTAAACATTCAGTGCTGTGAATATTGAATTTCTCCTCATTTTTTATAATAATTCTTTCAGATGAATTGTCAAATTTTCGGTTTGAAGGATCAAGGCATATAATTCCAGGTTGATTGAAATCATTAACAATATAAAAGTGTATTGAATATGAAATTTCCTTTAATCTACAAATGTCTCAGAACTTCGATATTCAAACAAACTAAGTAGTATGCATTGATATCAGTCAGAATAAAACATGATAAAGTGTTCTGAAATTCAGTCTACTTACGATTGTAATAAAATCTACGTTTCATTGAACTATTCACTGTAACTATGATAAATTGGTTGGTTGTGCCTAGCAGAAGAATTCCGGACGCGCATTTCGTCCTATTTGGGACTAGTCAGCTGGATGTACCTGCACGCCAGTGATGTTGTTCCAACTGGGACTCGAACCTCGTAATTATCGCTTCAAACGCTAAGGCATTGTCCACAATGGAGAATAAAAAATATGTCAATAAATAGTAATAAGTACTACCCGTTGTACAAGAAGTGGCTATCGTTCCTCTGTGGCATAGTGGATACGAAAAGCATTTCCAACAAAGAACTGCAGACATTCATCAACAACTTTCACCTACACTGGCTCGTTACTGAAGATCAGATGGATTGCCAGAATAATAAGAATAAACAACAAGGAACACTGGCCGGACGACGAACTAACCAGGAACCTATCACCCAACAAATATGCACTGGAAGGAAGTGGAGATAGATTAGATTGGATTGGGCATACAGTGAGAAGACCGACTGGGGACATCAAGCGTCAGACCAGTCACTCGAGTAGAACCCAGATGGGAAGCGATGAGTTGGGCGTCTGAGGTGAGTGTGACCTGGAGGAGATGGTGT